GACATAGCGCGACCTCTTCGCAATGTCTTCTTCGATGAGTTACTGCCTCACCTTCGACCTGCTGTACCCTACTGGTCACGGCTTCCCACTAGAACCCCAGGTTAACTGCCTGAATAGGGCCAGTCGCTAGTGAGCATCAGATTAATTTTCAAGTATTGGTTTTGTAGGGATTTGGTTTGATTGTATGGAGGATTTAATCATGAGCTGACATCAGTTGGGGAACCACATCAGTTCTCCCAGGTTTTCCAGTGGTTCTCTAACTGATGTCAGCTCATGATTAAATCCTCCATGCAATCAAACCAAATCCCTACAAAACCAATACTTGAAAATTTTAAATTCAACAGAATTCCACATTGATCTCGCTTTTCTGATCCTGCAGTTAGAATTCAAGAACCATTGGATCGGGTCCCAGTGGCTCAATGGTCTACGAGCTCGCCTTGTAACCAGAAGGTCCTGGATTCGAACCCCGTTGGATGCGTACTGCTGAGGAGTCCCAAACTAGGACGAAACAGCTGTCCAGTACTCCCAGGTTTTCCAGTGGTTCCCCAACTGATGTCAGCTCGTGAATAAATCCTCCATACAATCAAACCAAATCCCTACAAAACCAATAATTGAAAAATAAACTTTTACCTATAAATGTAAGATAAATGTACTTCATTTCAATCTTTATTATTATCGATAAAAATACTTAGCTAAGTATAGGCCTGAGAATCTTAGACATCGCTCGTCGATCAGTTGAATTTTAAACCGGAGCAGAATCACAAGGCAAATTTTCCTTCGTAGATATTGCATTTGCAAGATGAACAGATGAATCCACAGACAAAATGGAGTCGATAATTGATAATATCTCACGGTTTTGTCCAAATAAAGAGGAAAAGAAATCTCATCGCCACTTGTATGATGAGAAATCCCCGCAAACGCAACTAGTTTACATAGATTGACGAATAAAATGCTGTCCAAGTCCCCATGATCAAAAATAGATATACACAACATCCTTCATCGATAAACACCTAAATAGAAAGACCGATGCTCCACGAAACCTGGATGTGTCAAAGAAGCAAATAACTGTAAATCTGAAATCCAAATGAGATACAATTACAGAAGTTCTGTGAAGCAGTTTGTCAAGAGTCATTCGAAGACTATTCTTTTGAGTATCTTAACACCTCACCTTCACACACAATGTCAAGGTTGGTGAACACTGAATGATGTGTTTATTAGAATTGGTCTCCATTTGTTAGGAGACGACAATGGCGACAGTTGCTTAATCGTATACTGGTTGGTAGAGAACTGTAGAAACACGATCAGTATCCGTTTTTTGATATTCCGCTTTGGTTACTGTTCATAGTATTCTTCATGTTAGCGTAGTCTTTTGAAATCAGTGATGAGTTCAGGATGTTTAGAGATCTGGATATTAGGCACATGGTCTTGTTCACCATAGCATCAAAGATAGAATCCCACTATTGGCAACTTCAATGTGCACTTACCAATTCACCTGCTTCTGTGGAGCAGGAAATTCTCTAAAGGCATCCATGAACAATTACCATCATGGTTATCAAAGGCAGAATGCAACTCACTTCTGGAGAACATTATTAATTCTGGTCATATAGCATCACCAGAGACTTCATTCAGAGTCATATGTGAAGTACGGTTAAGCCGTTTAATACAATTTCGCTTACATCTCTTCCTGTAGGCTAAGCTTTAGCAGTCCATAAAGAGGAACTTGAACTTTGTGTTCAATCTCTTTTACTATTATGACCTTGTTGTCGGTTTTGTTTTTCTGAATTGAGTTACGAAAAATTCAATGTAGTCCTTTTGTCTTTTTTCCTATCAATTAATTCCAAATGATTATTCATCTCAGGTTCAATCCCTGGTGTGGTTGTGAAGGCACACTGCTAAACGGTCCCAAAGTGGGATGAAACAACTATCCACTTCGCCCCGGTTTTCAGTGATTTATTACTGGTGTTGGTTTGTAACAAAATCTACACCGAAACATATAATCAGTGCAAAGCACATAATTTAATGAATTTTATTACCAAACTGTAACCTTGTCAATTACCGACTATATATATATATATATATATATATATATATATATATATATATATATATATATATATATATATATATATATAAGTTGCTTGCCAGCTAATTTCTAAGGTCTCTTGTCTTATATGAAATGAACCAAGGTATGGTATCGTTCAGCTTACATACCGACTCCATATTACGTTCACACGTTCGGTAAATTTTGTCTTCAGTCTGTACTAAACGCTGTCATCATCGAACAAAGCGTGGAATGGCAATCAAACCTCTACCTCAACTTTATAGACTTTGAAAAGGCCTTCAACAGCGTTGATCGTGAGGTAATTTGGAAACTACTCGAGTACTGCGGCGTACGGTGCCCCAAATATTCATCAACCTTATTCATCAACAGCTAGCTGTATGACAACGGAACATGTCAAGTCATCCACAACGGAAAACTCAGCGAGGCGTTCGGAGTGAACACAGGAGTCAGACAAGGGTGCTGGCTTATTATCACCAGTGAATGATATTCCTAATTGTGGTGGACTGACTGGATTGTGCGTCAGACAGCGAGTGGGAAACGAGAAGACAGGGAGGGATATCCTGGACCGACCGACGTGAAGAAGCTAGAAGATCTGGATTTCGCACGGCGATGATTAGTTATGTTTGATCTCACACAAAATCGAAGACTTACGAGCGAAAACCGACCGACAAACTGGTCGAAGAAGCAGCCAGCAAAGATAAAACTCCAGGTGAACATAGACAAGACGGACGTTATGAAAATAACCAACCAGCCAACAACTACAGCAGCAGCAGCAGCAGCAACATCCAGCGCCAATCACCATCAATGGGAGGGATTTGAAAGAGGTCACTTCATTCACTCACTTATCTAGGGAGAATTGTCTCAACTACAGGAAGTCGGAACGGGCGAGTATGTCAAATCGAGCGAGAATCGGGTGGGGAGCGAGAAACACATTCATCAACCCGAAAACAATCTAGAAATCTTCCCCACTCAGCCAGCATCAACGACGAAATTCGGTCGGATTTTCAATACAAACAAGGTGAAGTCAGTCAGTTCTTCTACACTGATCGGATCAGAAACTTGGCGCTTGGCGGGTCACAAAGAATATTTCCAATAGCCTGTTACAGACGTTTATCAACAACTGTCAACCATCGCTCTATACTGAAGATCAGATGGCCGTGCTGGAGAGAATCACCAACAAGGAATTATGGGAACAGACAAAGCAAGAACCAATCACTGACCAACAAATATGCAGGAGAAAGTGGAGATGGATTGAACACTCGCTGAGGAGACCGCTGGGTGACATCGCGCGTCAGGCCATTTCTCGTGTGGAATCCGAAACGGAAGCGGCGTGTGGGACGTCAGTGCAAGGGTGACATGGAGGAGATCGTGTGAAGAGGAGTTGAAAGGGCATGGACTAATATAGATTCAGGTGAAAAGCACAGCAGAAGCAAGACAGAAGCAAGTGGAGACGTGCAGTTGGAGCCCTATGTTCCACTAGGAATCCAAGGGAGCAATAATAATAATGCACTAAACGCTGACTGATTCACAATAAAATAACGACAAGTTTTTGTCAGTTACTAACTCGACTTGGATGTGGCGCGTTACCTAAAGCATCTTCAATAGACCATGCAGATTTTATTCGACAACTGCCCCCTTCGCTTGATATTGAAATAGGATGGGCGGCTGGAATTGCTTAGCAATAGGCGATCCTGGTAAAGAACCGAATAAGAATTTCTCACCCAACATCTAAGAGGGAGAAAAGTGAGATAGACAGGAGACATTGTGAGAAATCACCGAATGACATCTGGAGCCATCTGTTGAGTGGAACCCGAAAAGGGAACGGCAAGTTAGTTGTGGGTGACGTGGAAGAGATCGTGTGAGGAGGAGGAGGAGTCAAAATTGCCTGTGCATTCACGGACACCGTTTAAGAAGACTAGAGAGGATAGAATAACATGGAAATGTTTCGTTGAAGCTCTGTTTTCTACTCAGAATCACAAAAAGAAAGATTTCAAGGAGTCTGTTTAAATTATTGGGCTATCTAAAATTTCTATCCATTCACCCTGTTTAGTGTGGATCTAATTACCACAGTGAGTCGCAATCTAAACTTGTGCACAGTTTTGTATATTTTTTCTACTTGTGATATATATCCGCATGATGTGTGTTTTGTTTTTGACAGTCTGTTATATTTTGCTAAGTGTATATGGATCGATATTTCATTATAACTGACAATATGCTTTTGTCTGTCCACTAACTAAATAAACATGTATGTATAACTTTATTATCACATGACATTACAATCAATCATGGTAAGACGTTATCATATTGGTTCATGTGCATTAGCCATTTTCATATATACTCTTGCTTTATTATTCATATTCATTCTTGTTCCCACGGTTCGTACACTTCGTACCATTTCACTCACACTCTTGTGTGACATTTATTTTCCTTATCTGAAAAATACAAGTATCATCGCAAACCTGGTGGTCTTCTGATTTCCCTCTTTCCGCGGCGTCAGGATTATTAACTACTCGACGAGTACATGACATAATTGGCGACGGAGAAAACTCCAATAACTCACTCAGCAGCAGTACATAACAATTTGTCACTAAGAATTACTTTAAAGAAATAGAGAAACAGCACTGTGGAGTAGCACTGGAGCATGCTTTGGATAGATTCATATTGCTTCAGATGACTGACACATTATCGGTTACTGTACTATTTGAAGATTCTACAGAATAAGCAAATACGCTGCTGTGGAAGTTGCTGAAAATACTGTATTGTATCTAAATTCATTTTTCAGAACAAAGCTATCATTGTTGTTCATGTGAAAAGATGAAAAATCTTAATGTTGTTTGACTATTCTTTACCAAAATGTTATTAAGAGACATCGAAAAAATGGTATTCTTATAATATTAAGAGATATACCTTATGCATGTTTGCATGTTGTCCACTTTTTTTATCTAGAACCCTCCACTTTCGAATAGTAATCTGGTGGTGGTGCTGGTGGCCCCAAGGGCGGAGCAGAAGATTCGGGATAAGGTGGTGGTTGATCACCAATGGTAGCTCCTGCAGTTTGTATTGTAGCCGTTGGCATTCCACCCTGTGATGATCCTACTGGATATGGAGTTTGTGATGCATAAGGATCGGTAAAATCAGTGGTTCCTGTTGGCTGGGATCGTGGGACATGATTCGACATTGCGTTTGGCATTGTATTATGCATAGAGCGTTTCACTTGGGATAAGAGAAAAATACGAAAACAAATAATATTGAGTAAAATAAACGGAGGATATTATTCATTCTGCATATTTCTAGCAATGAACTGTCAGTTCCACAAGACACTACATGATAGTATTCTTAGTGATACAATCACAACGAAAATAGTTTAGTCATTTAACAAAGAAGATACATGAACGTTCATATTCCCATGACAACATTCTAGCATTAAGAAGCATGTTGCATGATACCAACTGGGAACTGTTTACTGACGATAAGTTGGATGCTACTGTCTCTAATATAACCGATTATCTGAAGTTTTGTTTGGATATTTGCTGTCCTTATGAAACACTGTTTTCGAGATTTGACAGAATCTCTTCTTTGCAACTGAAAAAACTTAGAAGACAAAAAGAGAAGTTGTATAAGAATTGTGATAATACTGGTGTCCGTAAAATAAACACCCTTATAAAAATTGAAATAGAAAGGTTGAACAGACTATATAATGAAAAATTTTTATCATGTAAAAATCCTTCAAACATTTGGAAACTTTTCAATAAACTAACAAGTAAAAAACAAATGTCCGTTGATGCTTATTCTGATGTAAATGCTTTAAACAAATCATTTATCAAGAAACAAATTAATATGGTTGTACCTGATGTACCTAGTCAAGAAAATGGTCATTTTCAGGGTTTTGAAGAAAAGGATGTACTATTATGTTTGAAGTCATTAAATCCAACACACAGCCTTGGTCCAGATGGTGTACCAAGCATTCTTCTCCAAAAGTGTGCAGACATCTTGTGTCATCCTCTTACTCAAATCTTTAACGCATCATTTAAGAGGGAAACGGTACCTGCTGACTGGAAAGAAATCAAGGTTGTACCTGTACAGAAATCATCTTCTGGAGCAGGTATAAAATTTAGACCAGTCGCTATAACATCTCCTTTTTTGAAAACTATGGAGAAACTTCTTTTGAATATTCTTAAACCTTCTTTAAAAGCTTTTAGTGACCCTAAGCAGTTTGCTTATAAGTGTGGAAGAAGTACATTAGATGCAGCCATTGTACTACACCACAATATTGTTTCCTGCCTTGATAAGGGCGCTAAGTTCGTTCGAACAGCTTTCTTAGACTATACTGCAGCTTTCGACTCTGTTCCTAGGACACTTTTATTAGGCAAGATGAATTCAGCACAAACAGAGTCCTGGGCAACTAGATGGCTGTCTTCTTATTTTAAGGATAGGAAACAGCATACTGTTTTGGCTGGAAAGCGCTCCACTTCCCAGCTAACTGAAAGTGGTGTGCCTCAAGGTGCAGTACTTTCTCCATTTCTTTTCTCTTTCTTTCTGCATGACCTTCCGAACTCACCCAAAGTTAACTTCATTAAGTATGCTGATGACCTGACCGTTTCTGTCCCTGTAGTTGCCACATCGGATTGTTCCTATATGAATGGCTTCCTAGCTGAAGTTAAGGATTGGTCTCGCTCAAATGGTCTTAAACTAAATCCAACTAAATGTAACACTGTTGATTTCAGCTTGAGAAGTGAAAAAGACATGCATGGATTGATTCAATCTCATGATTGTTGTAATATTGATGGTACCATGATTGAGAGTAAGTCAAGTGTTTCTTATCTTGGCATTAGTTTCTCGTCAAATCTTTGCTGGTCGTCTCATATTCTTATAGTTTCTAAGAAAGTTTTCCGTCTGACTTATTACATAAAGAAGTTGAGACACTCAGGTATAACTCAATCTCTTATCATACAATTTATTAATTCATGTGTTTTGCCCATCATTCTTTATTGTTCTCCATTATTCTTCCCTGGGCTACTCAAGAAAGATCATATAATACTACGAAGAACATTGAGGGCTGTAAGTAGGGTCAGTGCTATCCCTTTGACTGAACTAAATGACACTGTTGTCAATAGGCATATGAATTCTTGTAAACACTTAGCTAAAGTTATCTTATCTGATAGTGAACATCCTCTTTATTCACAATTGTTTCCTTGTATCTCTTCGGGTAAGACCAGAAGAAATTTTATAAACATTTATGCTCGTACTACAAAATATAAAAATTCGACCGTTCCATATTTGGCACGAGTATTGTGTGAAGAGACAAATATCAGAAAAGAACTTTTACAACTTTTGAATCAGTAACTAAACTATAAAATGAAATGATGCATATTAATGCAAGTGTTATTTGTTATATTATTTATTTATTATTCACTATGACCTAGAAATGGTATGATTTTGTTGGGTTTTTTATTTTTATTTATTTTTTTATTATTTTTTCCTATTAACTATCAATATTTTAACATTTTATATATTTATATAATTATAAACAGAGCTAAACCATTGCAATATGTAAAAGAAACGCTGAAAATTCCATGCTGTAAATTTTTATTGTTGTGGAATAAAGTGATTATTATTATTATTATTATTATTATTTTATTTTGATTGGATTGATTATATTATGGCTTCTTCCGATATATATATGTATATCTAAAGTCTTCTCTAACATTTTTAAACCAGTTCTTTAAAATAACACGGTAACATGTTGTTATTCAGTCTATGTTGACTAGTGGGGGAATCCAGGATGGGTACTTCGTTCTGTTTGAGACTTGTCAGCCAGATATACCTGAAATCTGTGATGTGGGTGATGTTCCCACTAAGACTGAAGTCCTACATCTACTGATCGCAATGCGAAAGACTTGTCCTCTGGGTCACCAGGGTCACGAAACCCTTACTATTCCTTATTGGTGAACAGATTCTAACAGATAAAATCCTTAGGTAAATAATATGAAAGACTAGACACCTACCGACTTTATTAAATATATAATAAGTATTCACCTTGACTATATAATTTATGAAATATTCATGCTTTCTTGATGAAATCACCAATCGTAATTCAGTTATAGGAAGTTAAATAAACAGTCGGGTTGAAGAAAATATTACAAAAGATGGACAATTTTCTTCATATGCAAAAGCAGAATTAATGCCAACCAACTCTTATGGCCCATCAATTCTAACTTCTGAGAAGTCGTGAACAGTGGGATTCACCAGGTTGTGGGTCAAAACAAACACTCAATGACGACAGTGACTGGCGATTGCACTAAAAATCACGAACCGAAACTAATGTATACAGTGTTACACCAAGATCATACAAATAATTTGGTGGTGTTAGTCACTACTTAGTTCACAAAACTGAAAAAACTCCCCAATTTCGTTTCTTTTATGTGTATTGCCCAGTTTAACTGCTCCTTTGGAGCTGGATGCAATTGAGCATACATTTAATCAAATTGATTGATGAATTTCCCGGCACCATTCACCATGGTCAGGCAAAAGAACAAATGAGGTTCAGTACTAGATCATCTCGTCACTAGTGAACATCAGGTTTACTCTAAAAAGGCGTTTAAAGTTATTCATCACATTCCACCCAACCTTTCAAATGCAACAGAAAAAATTAGAAGTCATGTCAACAGGCTAAATCTGTACTCTAGAGTAATTTGAGAAGCCCTCTTCATTAACCGTAGCTGTCTGCCTAATATAGGTGGAGTATTTCAAATGATCTCACCCTATCCTTATAATAATCGCTTTGAAACTTCTATTATTTACTTTTAGTGTGATTACCACTGTGACTAAATCAATTTACTAATTTGTACATTGGTATTCTCACGTAATTCTATTGACCTTAGTCATAAGGGGTCGCGCTATGTCGTGAATTAGCAGAAGTTAGAATTCATGGGCCATTGGACCGGGTCCCAATGGCTTGATGGTATACCAGCTCGCCTTGTAACCACAAGGTTTTGGGTTCAAATCCCGGTGGGTGCGTACTGATGAAGAGTACCAAACTAGGACGAAACAGCTGTTCAGTACTCCCTGCAGGTTTTCCGACGGTTCTCTAACCAATGTCAGCTCCTGATGAAATCCTGTAACCAATCAACCAAATCCCTACAAACCGACACTTAAATATTTTACAGATTGTTGATTATACAATAATTTGTTGCTAACTGCCTACAAATTAATTGATCTTGACTCCTTTAACTATTTTTCCGCCCTTCCTGTATGCCTAAAAACGGAGCATTCTTATCGACTAACATTACCGCATGAATGGTATAATTTTGATGTTTAACTATGCAATATGTTTTAGTGTAGAGCAGTTGATGAGGAACTTATTGAAAGGGCGTATATTTCTTCCCTGAATTTTGACTGTCATTTTATTTCACTGGTTCTTTTCAACCACTGCATACAACCGAACAGAAATTTCAGTGTGAAAACTACAAAGCATTCAAATCCTTTAATTATAGCAATCATGAAGGTGAAGGCTACTCATATCATATGATTAAATAACATAAGTGGAAATGAATTAAGAGTTTCTGTTAAGCCTGTCAGTTCGTATGTACATATATGAAAATAATAACACTTATATTCTAGATTTAGGAAATGAATCTATTGCAATTCGAATATAAAAGAAAAGTTTCCTAAATTACAGACACTAGAAATCAATATCCTGTTCAGTTGTAATCGAAGCCTGCTTTCGTTCTCGTTCATTCCTATTATATTCGATAAGAGAAATACACATCAATAGATACAAAATCATTCTTTGGTGATGATGATTTTTTAAAAATCCATTTGATACAGATCAACTCATTTGCCTGATACGAGTATAATAATGAATGTGTAACCTACGAAACTGCCAAGTGGAAAAGATTCATCGTCGTTTTTATGATTAAGTAAGCTTATTTTGGTGACTGAATGTGTATATCCAAACGAAATCCACTTTCAAACAGAACGGAAGAGAGTTTTTCCCTAAAACACTTTCTAGATAGCTCCACGATTATCCATAATCTTTAGTTTACTTTTCACACTATATTTTGTATACCACATCTGGGGCCACGTTTCATTTTCCACTCGAAGGTTTGGCATGTCATGTCACACAATCGTGTCCTCATTGTATTTCAAGTCCATCTCAACTTCCTTCTGCGTGTTTACTGGGGAGAAAGTTCTTGGTCGGTTTGCCACTTGCT